AGGAAATGACCCCTGCATAGACTACTGAGTCTGCATGCAACCTTCAATAAGGTAGGGCTGTGGCTCACTGGTAGAGCAACTGCTTGGCATGCAAGAGTTCCCAGGCTCAATCCCTGACATCCCCAGTTAAAAATCTCAGGCAGTAGGTGATATGAAAGACCTCTCACTGAGACCCTGGAGAGCTGCTGCCGGCCAGGGTAGACGATACTGATCTTGAGGACAGACGGACCAAAGGAAATACTTCTTTAAACGGACAGTAATTAAAATGTGGAATTAGCTGCCAGTGGATGTAGTGATGGCCACAGGAACAGACGGTTTTAAAAGGGGATGAGATAGATTCCTGAACGATGGGTCCTGTCAGTGGCTACTAGACATGGTGGCTGAGGGGAACCTACCCGTTCAGAGGCACTAAGCTTCTGAATCCCAGAGCCAGGAGGCAACATCAGGGAAGGCCTCGGCCTCTGTGCCCTGTTGTTGGCCCTGCAGAGGAACTGGTTGGCCATTGTGTGGGATGGGATGCTGGACTAGATGGACCCTCACTGGTCTGACCCAGCAGGGCTCCCTTCTGGTGTTCTTATGAAGGCCTCGGCCTCTCTGCCCTGTTCTTAGCCCTCCAGGGAAACTGGTTGGTCACTGCGTGAGACAGGATGCTCTACTAGATGGACCCTCACTGGTCTGATCCAGCAGGGCTCTTCTGATGTTCTTATGATGGAACAATGGTCAGATTCAGTATAAGGCCACTTCATAGATGGCACAGGACTAATAATTAAGAATATGCTTTGGTTTAAGTTTCTGTGTGTGCCACAGCCCATTTCTTCACTGCTGTGAGGGGATCACTACTTGTGAGCTCCAGCTGCAACATAGTAGCCCCCACGCCTACCCCCACAATGCTAAAGCACGCGGTTTGGTGTTGGTCATGAAGGAATGGGTCCTGTGGATGCTTGCCCTAGCTTTATCTGCAGCATTGCATGCAACATGTGATGTCTGTTGGGTACAAGTTGGATGCATAAGCAGTGGTTCTCAGTCCTCTGCATGTGGAATTGAGATCGAATGGGGACTTGCTTCCAAAGAAATCCACTGGATTGGATTTTGTATGGGATTGGTGGGGTGGAAAGAGAATGAAATAAGTTGTATTATTTCACACATCTCTAGAAGCCTGATCACTGTTGTATGAAACGCTGCTGAGCAGGCTGCTGTGTTTCTATTATTCCCAAAGTCACCTGTGAGAATTGGCTAGAGTGCTTTGTATGGGTACTGCTTTCCAACTTGGCTTGCTTTCTTCTCTCTGGGGTCTAATTAGGCATTGTTCACACATGCTTATACCCTGAAATTCTTGTGGGTCTCTGAGGTGCTACTAGACTTGAATGTAACCGTTCTACCGCACACCCTCTGAAAGTTGTATTGTCAAGGACTCTGTAGCAGGTGTTTTATGAGCTGTTAGTAGCACACAGGATCTGTGATGCTTTCTGTGCAGCTTACAACCTTGTTTCTCATTTATCCCTGCCCACAAAGTAGGGTTGCCAACCTCCAGGTGGGGCCTGGAGATCTCCCGCTTTTGCAACTAATCTCCAGCTGACAGAGATCAGCTCCCCTGGAGAAAATGGCTGCTTTGAAGGGTGAACTCCGTGGCATTGTACCATGATGAGGCTTGGTATCCCTACCCCAAAGTCTAGGGCAGGGGTGGCCAAACTTACTCAACATAAGGGCCACATAGAAAAAATGTCAGATGTCTGAGAGCCGCAAGACATGATCAAATATCACACGCACGTTTTTATTTTAAAATATGCAGATTTGCTTTTTATTAGCATTAAATGAGATTGCCAAAAATACAAACAAATGGGGTAAAGACAGATATCGATAATGATATTTATTTGTCCAATGATATTTATTTGCCCGAGAAAGAGAGAGGGAGGTGGAAAGAAAGAATTATAGAGGTGGAAAGAAAGAGAGAGAGAGAGAGAAACAAAGAAAGCAAATAGATGGGAGGGAGGGGGAAAAAGCGTGCCTCCCCTTCGCTTCCCCAGCCGCCCTGCCGGGAGCTGCACAATATGTGTGAAAGAGCCACATGTGGCTTCCGAGCCACAGTTTGGCCACCCCTGGTCTAGGGCAATGGCAGGGCTATTTTGGGGCAGGAACGCACAGGAACGGAGTTCCGGCTGGCTTCAGAGTTGGCCACGCCTAGAGCCAAAACCTCTGCGCATGCGTGGCTATAGAGGGAAGGCCTGGAGAGTGACCTTCCCTGGCGACTCTGATGCCGGTGGGCCAGGGGCGCCTGGGTAAGCCTCCCCTCCCCTCCAAGAGCTGACTTGCCCGGGCTCCCCGCAAGCCAAGGGAAGGCATGGGGGTGTGGCCTAATATGCTAATGAGCTGTGCTGTCAGGGGTGTGACCTAATATGCTAATGCATTTCTGCTTTTGGGTGTGGCCTATTATGCTAACGAGTTCCTGTTGGGCTTTTTCTACCAAAAAACCCCCTGGGCAACGGTGTAACATAGAGAGATACAGGCACTGCACTCTGCTGGATCAGAATGGTGGGTTTTGGAGTCCTTATGTTAAGATTTCTCCGGTGCAGCCTACAGATTTGAGGGCGACAGCTGAAGAAGAACGATGCCCTCCAATTATAGTTTGGCATCCCTCATCGTCATGGAAAGAGTTGGGATTTAAAAAAAAAGAAAAAGAAAAAAAACTGGAAAGCGTTGGGGATCAAGTAAATAGGTGATGACCAATTTGCCTTTTGAGGTGCTTTTGAGCACCTTAAAGACAGACAAAATTTGTGTTAGTCTTTAAGGTGCTTCTTTGGGTAGTGAAGGGCGGGGGATAAATCCAATCTCTTCTTCTCTTCTCTTCTTCTTCTTCCTTCAGCCACCAGAGTAGTTTGTTTCTCTTCGCACGCCAGAAATGTCTTACTAACAAAGAAACACTGTGATAAAAATGACAATAACATTTAATAATTCCTATGAACATCCATTTGTATATCAATTAAAACTTTTACAATATGGCTAAGGAAATTTTAACATTTTCAAGGAAAAGTCCAACATCCTCAATGAGCACCCGGTTATACACTCATTTCACCAGTCTTCCTCAGGAATAATCCTATTATGTTTAAAGATGTCAGCCTCTTGATACAGCTCAACTTCTTTTTTTTTGCTTCTTTCAAATAGTCACAGCTTAACTTCTTTTTTTTACTTCCTTCAAATTATTGCAGTTTAACTTCTTTTTTAATTTCCTCAAATTATCTCCCAGTTCTATTTCAAGTGTTTGAATTAGGAGCAAGCCAGTTAATTAATTTCTAATAGTAGCAACCAGTCCTCTTTTTTTTTTACCCGGCTAGAAGCCTTCCTTTTTCATATTGGCTGGCAAATGCTCTCTATCTCACGTTGCTGGCTCAATTGCTGATTTTTATCACAGTGTTTCTTTGTTCGATACAGTTTCCTGTAACTGTGATCAGTGCTCCCTCTAAGCTGTGGAGTCTTGTGAGCAAAACTTTTCCTTTGTGAGCTACTGGAATTAAAGTTGTGAGCAAGCGATTCAGCCACTACATAAATTAGTTTGCTCTGGAGCCCCATCCTTCTTGAGCTAAGACAAAAAGGTGTGAGCTGGAGGATAAAAAACAGTGAGCTAGCTCACACGAACTCAACTTAGAGGGAACACTGACTGTGATCCCTTTTTTGGTTTAAGAAACTTCTTACTGGCACCTGGAAATTCGCCCTGCAGTGAATGTGTTTGATTGTTAATTATCCAGCTTTCCCCCTTGCCTACTTCAAGGTGACTGGTAGGGTCAGCGTAGCGCAAAACTATGAGAACAGAGCAAAACCAAATCTGGCAAGCCGGAAGAATAAGCACGGAGAAGGGGCATGCTGATTTTGGCTCCTCCCTGTGATTGACACAGTCCTATACAAAGATAAAAAACGCTAGGGTAGAGCATCAAATAATTCACAAATTTCAGAAGTTACCAATAGATATCAGTCTATTGCAACGTAATAACAATAAGTCAATTAATAATGTCGAATTGGTGGCCACAAACAATGCTCCCTCTAAGCTGTGGAGTCTTGTGAGCCAAACTTCTGCTTTGTGAGCTGCTGGCATTAAAGTTGTGAGTGAGCAATTTGGCTACCGCTTAAATTAGTTTGCTCTGGAGCAATGTTCCCTCTAAGCTGTGGAGTCTTGTGAGCAAAAATTCTACTTTGTGAGCTACTGGCATTAAAACTGTGAGCAAGCAATTTGGCTACTGCATAAATTACTTTGCCCTGGAGCCATCCTTCCTGAGCTAAGAGAAAAATGTGTGAGCCAGAGGCTAAAAAACTGTGAGCTAGCTCACAGTAATTCAGCTTAGAGGGAACACTGCTCTGGAGCCATCCCTTCCCGAGTGAAGACAAAAATGTGTGAGCCAGAGGCTAAAAAACTGTGAGCTAGCTCACACTAACTCAGCTTAGAGGGAACACTGCTCACAATTCCAAAACACAATTCAGAAACACAAGTACAATTCAAAACATTTTAACAAGAAGCGTATGACAATTCAGTAAGTAAGAAAGAATCCAACAAGAGACTCCTCTATATCCTTTCGGTATAGTAGTGTCCAAAAGACCTTAAAGTCCACAAACAAGGCAGAGGATGTCCCATAGAACAAGGAAACTTCTGCAGCCGAAGAAAACCTCCTTCCTAGGTGTGCCAGACGTTTCAAAGCATTCTTCCTCAGTTGTACGGCTGAAAAGTGGAACCTGATTTCCACAATAATCTAGGCACAGCTCATGTCTCAAATGGAACCTGTGGTTGACACTGTCCTATGGGCAGCAGCAGTGGGGTGAGTGGAGGATGGCTGGCCCTTGGCGTGACACTAATTGTGCTGAAGCCGAAGGATCGTCTTAGTTCCTGACCCCTGTTATGTTCAGTCAGCTGCAGCAAGGTAACTCTGAATCTTTGTTTCGAAACAGGACAGAGGTTCCAGAAGGGGCCTTTCCCACTGTGGGATTTTTTTTTGCCACTCTTTTTTTCCTTCCTCACAATGGCGACCCCAGATGTGAGTGTTCACATGGAGGAGGTGGTGGTGGTAACGACCCCGGACAATGTGGTGGACGGCAGCGGCGTGGAAGAGGTGAAAACGGTGCTGGTCACCACCAATCTTTCCCAGCACAGGTAAGTAAACAATATCTAGACCCTGGGAAAAATCTCTCCTCTCCCAAAGCCCTTCATCAAACCACTCGCTATTATTGTTATTTTATTGTATTATTGTATTATTTTATTTTTATTATCATTGTTTATTTTAATTACTTTTCTTTTTATTATTATTATTATTATCATTTATTTTTATTATTTCTATTTTAGAAATAATAACAAGGGCCAGGTCCTTCTCAGTGGTGGCCCCTACCTGCTGGAACAAGCTCCCGGAGGAGATCAGGGCCCTGCGGGACCTTATGCAGTTCCGCAGGGCCTGCAAGACGGAGCTCTTCCGCCAGGCTTTCGCATAGGGGCCGCCGCTGCCACCACCACCAATG